TGTCAATCATCATCCAGAACTTCCTCCAATTCCAGCCCCTGACCCTCCTCAGCCACTTGCTATTCTGGACCATCGATTTAAAGTCGGTCAATTAGAAATTTTGATATACTGAAGCCACTCTTCACCTGCGGATGCCTCTTGGGAAAATGTTCAAGATATGACCAAACAATTACCACAATTCAAACTTGAGGATAAGCTTTCTTTGGGGTTGGGAATTATTGATACAATGTCACTACAAGTGTACACACTTCACACTCATGGCAAAAAGAAGCAATCACGTATGGAACCCATTGAGTTTTTCTTTATGCAGTTTTTTTTTTCTTCAGTTTCTGTATTGTTAGGAGTCCTCCACTTTCATTTCTATTTTTAATTATTTCTCTTGTTTCAAGAGGATGATGATTCATGACTCCATTGATATAGCAATGATTGTAAGGACTCCATTTTCATTTCTATTTTTAGTTATTTCCTTTGTTTTAGGAGGATGATCCTCCATGATTGAGTCATGGTTCCATTGATGTAGCAATAGTTATTATACAACTTGTATAAATAGTCATAAACATCAATGAAGATGGTACCTAAAAAATTTTCAATTTAGTCTTGAATACTTTGACTAAGAGGTACTAAGGTTCCCTCTATTTGAGTCTTACAATTATTTAAAATAGGTCGAAAGAAGAATTCTACTTCTTTCTCCCACACAAAAACCGTCTACCTCCACTACTCGATCGCAGGCTTGGGCCCGTAACAAAGGGCTTTCCTTAGTTATTGAATACACTATGGTTTCTCTCTTGCCAAAAAGACCAAAAGAGAGCTCTTATAAATTGAAGACAAAGGCTTTTTTTTCTTTCTTGAATGGGTGATCCTCCATGGTTGAGGAGCTTTTATTTATATGATACGAAAAGGAAGATTTTGAGAGTTCTATCTTTGAACCGGAAGTTAATATGAAGGCATTCATACTTCTGAATAGGTAGTTGAGCTTTTGGTGACTAACAAGTGCAAATGTAAAGTAAGATGGTTAATTTGGATGTTTCCCAATGAGCATGTGCTTAGACAAATACGAAACAAGGACAAAATAAGGAAACATGAAAGGGGATAATTAATTCTTTAGATGCCAAAACACTTATCTCCTAGGCCCATCAGTCTGCAAAATGGAGTTATTTGCTGAACACGAGCAACCAGAAATTCAACTTCTCAACCTTGGGTTAAAAACTCTTGACCTCAAGGAATACCAAAAAAAAAAAAAAAAAAAAAAAAAAAAAAAGGGTACAACATCACACAGACAAGCACATGTTCGGAGGTTAAATACTTGTTGAGTGAATTTGCTATTTTTCATTTGTGAGGCACCTGTGGTATGATATGGCTGATACTGCCAAAACATTACACAAGAAAGCACAGGTTTCATTTTTCAGTCTCTTTCTCCACCATTCTGTTGTATGTACGTCAATGTGTATGTCTATGCCAACAAACGGTGCTGTTTTTTTTTTTTTTTTTGTTAAAAAATAAAGTCAGCACCCACCCCATTATGGAATTCAATTGCTGTAGATTTCTGATTTTTTTTCTCCTGACAGTCAGAACATCATTTTATGGATTATCATTTGCAAGTTGTGATGTACAGACCTAGAACTGAACATTATTCATGGAGTAAATTTCTCCATTTCTTTTATGCAGACTCTCTTCTCCTCCAGTAGCAGTGGAGAAAGTGGGTACAGTAAGCTTCAAGCTGACTTCTTGGAGGTGGGTGAACTAGAACCGAGGGAAAATTGTTAATATTGGATTGATGCTCTCCTCTGTGTGTAAATTTATTGCGTCAAGTGAGGCTAGATCTAATAGTAGTTTGTTGTGGTGCGCTCTTTCATTTGATTAAGGAATTTTATTTAAAAATACCCATAATAAGTGATTGCATTTCTCATGTCATTTTAAACAATATAGCTGCCGTCATAATTCCAATGTGGGTTTCTTCATGGAACTTGTTGCAGCCGAACAGTTCGTTAATCAATTAAGCTAAAAATAATAATTTCTAATCAAGAAGTCGAATCTTTAATTTATTTTTCTTCCCAATTTTTTTGATGCAAGGGCAGATATACCTCTATGTCACTACGTTTTGTAGCAATTACTAAACTTGATTTTCTGGATAGGTGATTGATTTTATCAATGATGCAATTGTCACTCTGGACTCTTTTGTTGCTGCATACAGACTGGCAGCTATATTCTTCTCCTCTGCTGTTGAAATAAGGTATTTTATATTGGATACAAGATTCTGGTTCTGGATTTCCACCGGTGATGTTTGTAATTGACTTTGAAAATGTACTCACTCCCCCCTCCTCCCAATTAATGTTAATCCTGTTCTGCAGCTGTGGGAATGAGGATTTGCTTGGAACTCTTGCAAGATTGCATGATTTACTACTTCCATCCTTACAGCAGGGATTCCAAATTGTCTTTGTGCCCCGAGGAGATGATATGATGTCTAGTGTGGTAACAAGTTTGAAAATGCTAGCATTAAGAGTTGTAAGTCTGGGTTGGAAACTGCTGGAAATCTGCTATCTAGGTGACGAAGTGTTTGGAAATGACCTTGCTGTTCCAGTCTCTATGAAGATGTTCCCAGCAAATGTAGAAGATCCTGTCATAAGAGCGGATATCTTTATTCAAACTTTGAGAGAGATCAATGGGATCTCGCAACAGGCTCCGGATAAACAACTTGGTCAAACATTTCTTCAGCGTATGGAAAAGAACCACTCCGTAATGAACAGAATCAACAGTTTACGAAACAATGGTAAGTTTTCTGGATCGAGGTTTTATTTCCACTACATATAGGATAAATTAAGTTGATCAAACATTCATTAGTGGTACAACATAGAAGTAAATAAGAGCTTAACCCTATTGGCAATTTATATTACTAATAATTCATTCTTGGAATAAACGATCTAGTACCATAGAACATAATGGTATGTGTTGGATTTAGTTCCAGTTGTCCGGTGAGATAAGGAAGGTTCGATTTTTCCATCATATCAGTTGCACAATCTCTATGGATGAATATCTTGAAAATATTTGGAAATATAATGTTTTAAAATTTTCTGCTCAACGCCTACAGAAGGAATGCCACCCACAAAATGAAAATCAAGTAGATAGACATATTTCTGAAATGCATTTTAGTATTGACTAGTCTCCTATTTTCTTTTCTTGCTAGAAATAGCATTATGACGTGAATTGTGTTGCCTATTTCTATTCTTACAGGTTGGATATTTGTCGATGATGAGCAATTTGATTATATATCAAAAATAGTTTATACCCCCACGCCTAATATTAAGGATTCATCTCTTTCCAAGGCACCTGTGATGAGCCACATATCAGAAGTAGATGAGGATTCTGCAATGTTGGAGTCGAAAATCTGTCAAATAAAGGATCTTTTCCCTGAGTATGGCAGTGGGTTTCTAGCTGCATGTCTGGTAGCTTATAATCAGAACCCTGAAGAGGTGATTCAACGAATCCTTGAGGGGACTCTTCATGCTGATCTTCAGTCCTTGGACACTTCCTTAGAAACAATGCCAGTTCCCAATTCTAGTGCGGCTGCTATTAATAGGAATGACAAAGGAAAAGGAAAACTATTTGAGTCTTCAACAGTTGCCTACACCGACCAAGTCTCTCAGAGTAAAGATTTAATGGTTGAAGGCCCTTCAGTTTCATCTACTTTTAGTGGCAGATATGTTCGAAAGTCTAAAGATGATATGCCGTACTCAGAGACCCTTGACAGTAGAAATGAAGCAGATTCAGTGAGGACTGCGTCTTTGGTTTCCCAATATGAATATGAAGATGAGTATGATGACTCCTTTGATGATCTTGGTATTAGCATAGCAGAGACAGCTACAGAAGATAATGAAGACTTGGTGAGTCAAAAGTTGAGTTCAGATTTGGGTAACTCTTCGAACTCAAAAAATGCAAGTTCAGCACAAAATGCTTCCAACTCAAAGTGGGGATCTAAAAGAAAACCTCAATACTACGTCAAGGATGGTAAAAATTATAGTTACAAAGTTGCAGGGTCGATTGCAGTTTCCAATTCTGACGAGGCATCTTTAGTCACTCAAGCTCAGAAAGAACTAATTCATGGACTTGGACGCGGAGGCAACTTGCCCCTCGGGGCAGTAAAAAAACTGACAGAGTCGGAGCAGGATAGTCAGCCTGATGTTTCTGCAGCAGATCCGAGAGATAACGTACGGAAGTCCTGGGGCAGAGGTAGTAGAAGAGAAGTGGGAAGTGGATCAGCTGCAGGCGTGCCTGAAGGACAAGGTAAACAACCAAATGTGGCTGAAGTTTCAGAAAGGCGGGGAAGAGGCGGCAACAGAGGCCGAGGAAGGGGGGGAGCATCTGGTAACCATCACAGGAAGGACAGAGCCATGAAAAAGCATTTTGCTGGATTATCTGGTTTCTAAGTTAATCTGTCCGATCGAGTGTTTTTTCCCTATAGAAACACCCCTCACCCCCCAAAGCAGTACCAAATACACAGATTTAATATGGATCCATTTGTTTTATCATCGATTGCATACGAGCATATGACCCTATTAGTCGAGTTGAACCTCTGCAGCACAGTGTTTCTCTTAGAAGATGTAGCTGACTGGCAAATTTTTATAGTAATTTGAAAATTATATTCATCTTGATTTGCAAAGATGGTGACCTTGTTCTAGCAGCGCATTAAAGGTAAACATGGAAAGAGAAGTGCAAGATAGAAGATTGAGGGCATTCTTGCCTCCACAGGAAGTCGATGATCACATGCACTAGTATGTACTTCTATAGGGTCATACTTTCTGATCCGTGTTAGAATTTTAATTTTGTAGCTATGAATATTTAGCTGTACTCAAAGGTTTTGGTGGGCAACACTTGAATGCTATGTGGAAGAATAAATATGAGAAATTACGAAGGTGAAAACTGGTATTGACTTAAAATACTTTTTATTACAAATGCCCCGTTCTAAGAGTTAGATGGATCCCAACACGGGCCCAAAATTTATGAAATAATCCGTTGTCTAATAATTATTAAATTACGTGCTAATCGAAACTAACAGTAAATCGTCAGAGCACTTACGAGGTGGGGATTCAGAATAATTCGAAATCATCAGCCCCAATTATGAACTGCGAGTAATTTATGTTCCTACTATTTTTACAATTCGTCCAACAGAAACATGGAGGCTCGCACCAGCCTTCAACAGCACCTTCTAAGTCGCAATAAATAAATACTATAATTCTCAGTCGCCCACGTTTAAAGCATAGTGTCCAATGTTTCTACCCTGCAACACGAAAGCAAAAGGATTATCCAAGCAGAAAAACAGATAAAGATATAAATGTTGATATTATCTTAAGATTAGATAACGTAAGATATTCTGTTAAGATTAGATAACGTAAGATATTCTCTTAAGATTAGATAATGTAGCCCAAGAGGACAACCTTACATAAGATATTATCTTACGATTAGATAATATCTCCCAAGAGGACACCCTTACATAAAATATTATCTAATCTTACATAAAATATTATCTAAAGATTAGATAACGAAAAGTCACGCCTACTTAGTGCCCGAAAATGCAATAGGGAAACTAGCTGAGTTTTCAGATAAATCATTTTGAGATTATGAAATATTTATCTCTAAACTTCACAGCTACTAGACCACACGCATGGTTTTTATAAGAAAACTTCATCAGCAAATCTAGCATAATCATATATTTCTCCGATCGGAGGGACTGATAAACAATTCTTTTTGTTTAAATCCTTCCCATTCTAGTAATGTGCAGAAAACTACCTCAGCTAACATTCGCTGCTTGTTCAATAGCTGAGTCCTTGCCTTATTGGCAATTGAATTTGGTGACCTGAACATCCTCTAATTAAAAAAACAAAAAACAAAAAGAAAACACGTTAATAAGATCGCCATACGTAAGGAATAGAAATTACATTATTCAATAGAAGACGTTCAACCCAAAGAATAGAAATTACATTATTCAATAGAAGACGTTCAACCCAAAAATAAATAAATAAAATAATTAATAATCATGGTGTTCCACTAACCTTTTCCGTGGTCGATATTCGATGCTCACTGTCCAAGAGAAATTTTTTCTTCGGAGTGAACCCAAAGACATCATGAAGGAATACATTCTCCTATTACATAAAATAGGGAGTAGAATAATATTAGAAAGCTGGAAGTCACAGGAATGCTACCGGCCGATTAATAATCAACCGAACAATTAAAAAAGACGTGTATTGGCATACAAACGGCCGAGAAACAAACCTGCATGTGCTTAACAAACCCTCCTCCAAGAATGTGCTTTAAGAAGTTCAGCTGTGAAAGCTTATAAATTTAGTGTTACAAAATGAACATAAAAGTTAAACAATTTTCACACAACAAAAAGATGGGAACCTGAATCAGTTGACTCCATGTTGAAGTCTGCAACAGATCTCCTCCAATCTTAATCGAAGTTTCAGGACAATAACCATCCTAACATAACAGAACGGATAATCAAATAAGCCTAAAAAGAAAAGGATATGAAGATCGACACATGCAAAGAAGAAATAAAGATGTGATGTAGGTGTACCTCAAAAAACTCCAAGATATCTCGAAATGTATTCCGCTGGGAGTTGAGATCTCTCTTAGCAGAACCCTTACCACCGGCTTCCATCGAGAGGCCTTTCACTTGATTCAAAATTTTTCCCTTCAGTCCCTGTATATGTATGAACCAGTCACGCTGTTTACTTCCCTCTAGGGCGGAGCCATCAGTTGATCCTCTAGCTTCAGCAGAAAACTTCTCCAATCTGCCTATCTCAAAAAGCAACGCCAGAGCTTCACCAGCAGCAATGCGTACAGAACGGTCATCCTTGTCCAGAAGACTTGATAAATATGATATTGATCTGAATGTTTGCAGTATTAGAATTCATTAATCGTCACATATGGTGCCAAAACTTTAAATTCTTCTTTGCAGAGGGAAAATTCAAAACTACAAGCATAGTAGGGTTCTCCACACATTTTGACTTGGTTTTTTACTTTAGAACCTTTGTGGAAAGAAACTGTATTGCCCCATCAAAGGGGCAAAATCACATCATAATTCAGATAACATAAAACGTAGTACATTTTCATACAAGGCAAACATTTCTTTATATATTTATTTACCAAATTTTCATGAACTGCGAACATTTATTTGCACATTTATTTATCATTTTAACACAACCAACCCCAATGATGCTGTTTCATACCTAGACATGCAAATTATGATATCAACCCATTAACAATCACACTCAAGCCAATATCAAAAGATTGAGGTTTCTTGCAAAAATAATAATAATAAATCAATCAATAGCAAAAGAGGAAGCTGCATAACAAAAGTTTACTAACTCTTGCCAATCTTTGGAATTAAGTTTCAACCCGTCCATAGTCGTAAGGACAAAGGACCATGCAGACACCATAGCTGTTATGATAGCTGCCGATTGCCTGGCTGCAACTACCTGTGAAATTTGAAGAGCAGGCAACAAATGAACAATAAATGTAAATTTGATAAAATTTCTCGTCCTAAACCCTAAACAAACAACAATAATAAAGGAAGAGACATTAGGGATTACATTTTGTCCTAGTTTGGGAATGACAACTTGCCACATGAGCTGCAACGACCGTTCAATTTCCTCCATGTCATTTCCTCCAACAAAAGTGATAACTGCCAAGCATTCGAGCAGCTGAAGAAAATTAATCATCCCAAATCAGTCGAATGAAAATCATCTAGTTATTTTATAATTAAATTAAATTTCAGATTAAATATATTATATCAAATACCGATATCTTTGAGGACTCCGATCCAGATCTAAGAGCCTGAGAAATTGAGGGAATTGATTCTGACAATATTTCCCGAGCATTGTCACCCTCACCCACTGTTAAAGCTAATAATCCTACAGATTATATATGATCATAAAATTAATTGGCATTTGGATACACAGTAATTGAGAAGGCTAATGTCATCAAACACCTACCAATTGCACGAGAAGCCAAGGATATTTCCTTGCTGGAACCCTTTTTGATAGAATTCAGACATTGATGAAGCAGAGTAGCAAATCTGGTCAAAGGAAGAAAAGTGCAATCAATCAACATGCATGTGCTTTTTCCTTTTACCTTTTTACCCCCAATAGGACTATGATTGCATCAAAGTTGCATCATATAAAAGGGGGGAAATGAGACTCTTACATTATGCTTGGCTAAAAATTTAATTTGATAAAACTAAAACGAAATGAAGAAATGGTAAAATTATAACTTAATGGCTAAACTATGGGTACTGAATTGCCATTATCACCATGTTGTCATGTTTATGACAACAAAATAAGTAGGCTCACAGTAATATTTGTGGTAGCCACTCACATTGGCTGAGATTGAGAATTCTTACATCTAAGTTTGGGGATTTGTAAGAAATAATTTTTTAAGTATTTTGTTAGTTGGATTTTGAGATCCATCTGTTAGTTGGTTTCTCTGAAAAATATTCCAACACGAGTACAAAAGAGGAATACGATTTCTTCCCCAGACAAAATCTCTCAGATGAATGAAATATCTCTTTCCTTTACCCCCACTTTGGGCAGTTCTTTACGATTGCAACAGACTACATTCTGCAAAACTAACTACATTTAATCAAGAAAGTGAATGAAAGCAACCCTGCCATTTTTCACTCTTAGAAACAGTACCCGAGAAAAATCATAGGAGAACGTGCCATGCTATAAGCAAAACAATGGAAGAATTGAAGCCCGCGTTTGAAATTAGAAACATTTGCACGGAGAGAGTGCGTGAAGGAGTGCTTACTTCTTTTCCACAAATTGATGTTGCAAATTGTTGTTGAGATTTTCTATGATTGATGCCAGCGCTTTCTCTCTTGTGGAACCCCTACATTGCAGAAGTCAAACATAATTTACTCCAAGTTTCAGAACTATGTAAGATTCTTTTTATATAAAAAAAAGAAAAAAGTACCAACAAGCTATAAACTACAATGGGGCAACGGCTGCGGCTACTAGTGACAAGACCAAATTGCATTAATTTTATTCTAGGAGTAAAAATATTTAGCACGAAGAAGCGTTCAAGCACTAGAAGAATACCTCTTCTCATACAAAGCATCAAGAGCTTGATCAAGTATAGTATCTTGGTCAAATTGAAAATCCTCAATCCCTACAACAGACATACGATCAGACCGCGTAGTCGATGAAGAACTCACACTAATATCATCATCACTATCCACCGCTGGAGAATTTTTTCGCTGAGTTTTACCTGTCAAGAAGAGACAACATCAATACCAAACCCTTGTAATTATCAATCTGCACAGTGAAACACTAAATCCAGACTATTTCAGAATTACAATCCAGAGAGAAAAATAGAAACACTCCAGGAGGAAAAGTCAACCAATCTATAGATGAAAAAGGAACAAGAAAGTAGACAAAAGGCCAGAGAAATTTCGTTCACAAATAAAACAGCAAATAGGCAGCCTCGATTATCGATAAAAACTACCAAAGAGAACGAAAAGAAAACTCACGTCTTCCCATTTGTACAGACCACGGTGGCTCCTCCCTTCAATAGACGTCAATTAGAACTAGAAGGCTGCTTAAAAATCTGAGAACGAAAAAGTTTCGGAGAAAAAAGATGAACAGAATCTAATGGAACTGAAACGAGAATGGAGCAACACTTGGATGAATGGAAGAAAAAACTCGCCATCAAATTTGTCGAATGCAGGGAAAATGAAAAAAAAGGAAAATTTCGGAGAAAAACAAATTAGGGCTTTTATAGGGAACAAAAGAAAACAACCTATGAGATGCAGGACCTTTAAAACTCTCGACGGTCCCAAAGGGGATCGTTCGCGCCGTGGTAAAAAAACGTAACCAATATTCGCTGAACCTGTGGTTGCCTGGAGATGATGACGTGGATAGAATAATCACCGTCTGATGCCAGGGAGCTGTTGGATACGGGACCCACGAAGGAAAGAAGTCGGCGCCGTTTGGAGATGGACACGTGGCAAATGGTTTGGAACCAATTGAGAGGTAAGAAAAACACGTGCGTTTGGATATTGGATCGCGTGAGGGATACGCCGGCTTGCATCTCTCCCCATATGAATTTTGGGCCTCAGTCCTCTCATCGAAGGCCCAAATTTATTAATTGGGCCTATTGCTGACTGTTCGTTTCAGAATTGGGCCCAGAAGAGTTCGCCTCAGATATTTGGTTGCGGCAATCTGCGGCGTTTCAGAATTACCCGGCTTCGGCGGGTGACTGCTGCAGCGACCCGCGCTCGCACGATTCCCCTGTTCCGACAGCGACAATCGCTTAAAACGAACCTCGAATCGCTTCGAGTTCTTGTCCCATGCTCCGATTGATCTCGGATCTGAAAAACCGCGATTCGACGGCTTCAGTTCGTGCCCCACTCGCCTCTTTGTTTCAACTTCTTCGCTCTCCAAGAGATTCTCTATATGCCATTGCACTTCGGGTATCTAAACCTATTGGCCATTGATTGACGGTATATAATTTCAGTTAGAACTATACGTTTTTACTTCTTGTCATATTCATTCATGGATCTATATGTTCATACATTATAATTATAACAGTTTACTGATTAAGTTAGATTAGATAGTGATACATTACTCTCTGACTGCTAACATATGCCCTACCATTTGATTCATTCGCTATCCTCTTCTGGCTTTCATATTTTGTGATATTTTATATTAATCAGTTAGATTGGAAGCCACCCCATGTCATTAATCATTGTGGATAGCAAATATAGAACTTTAGTTTTCAAAAGATAGCTAAATATAGGATGCGTGGTTGATGAAAAGCACAGATTCGTTAAAAGTAGAGCATAGAAGAGATCACCTGCAACAAAATTCCCAATAGAGGTTTTCATTTTCCATTTCCCTCGAACTCATGTCATTTTCAAATCAAAATCCAAACTGCCCCCTGAAATATTGACAGAAGCAATCCAAATTTGGTTGGAGACTGACATCCAAGAGGAAACCAAGAGAAAAAGAAAGGGCTATGTGTGTTATGAATCCATGATTGATCATTAAAGCATGGAGAGGAATGGGCAAGGTATGTTTGAATACACACATCCTCTTTATCCTCCTGCCCCTTGTGGTTGCTTATATTGTGTCATCTGCTTGTCATAGACCACTTGTTTTTATCAAAAATACCCATTTGATGCCAATTCACTGCCCCCCATGTGCTGCACACTTCCCGCTTGGATCGGCAAGAAATAAGAGACCGACCGATCTGCAGGGTGCAGGGTGCAGGGTGCAGGCGCAGGCCAGTCAAACCCTCGGAATTTGACTACTGCAAGTTCAGGTGGGGACAGAACCATAACCATAACCAGAACTACAGAACCGTTTTCTATTAATGTGCGTGATAAGCAAAACTTACTTTTACTGACAAACCCACTTGGTATTTTCAATCTTCCTCCTCACCGACATCCACCTAACTCCCACCACTATTCCATTGGTTTTGTTTCCACTTAATTTCCTTATTTATGTTGTTTTTGTTTTCGCACATGGGAGTTGCAGAGAAATGGAGGCCGGAAGTGATTGATTGTGAAAGATTGAAGATTTCCTTGCAATTCCGATGGGGCGTTAAAGGGCGCAAAGGTACAGCCATGGGCTTCCCGTTGGTTTTTGCAATTGCCTTTTGATTATCATCATCTTCAAGGCAAGAGCTTGGGTATTGCTTTAAAGGCATACCCAAGTTCTGTCACTCTAATATATTGCTTCTGCCTTTTGATTACCATCATTTTCATGGATCAAAGGACTATTTTATTCGACATATATCAATTTTTTAATTAGAATTTTTAATAGAAAGAGAAGAAATCTCGTTTTCTTAATATAAATAGACTCCTAATTTGAGAAAAACAGAGAAACAAAACATTTTTTTATAAAAAAACCTCTCCCTAATATACATCTTGAAACTTCTTAGACGATATATGCTATTACATTTTCTATCTTAAAATTTTTTTTTACTTGTACTTATTCAATATTTTTAAAAATTAATAAATAGGTTAGACATTAAGATAAAGGTCTATTACACATAAAATTAAAAGGTTTAAGTTAAAAATTAATGTTTAATTAAAAAAACACATTAAACATTGCAGGAGAGATAATTATATATTTAACTTATATATGTATAATTTGAAACATAGTTTAAAATATTTAAATTTATTATATGGAAAAAGTTGATGAGAAGGGACAAAAAGCTATGGAAGAGATGGCAATTTTGAATTTGGGTGGGTAGCAAATGCCAAGGGGGTATCATTCAGGCCCGTGGACCAACTTTTGGACACGACTATTTGGGATTCTCTTAATTTATTACCACTAATTAATTATTTAATAAATATTCTAATTATACGTAACATTGTTGTGATATTTGTATTAATTGATTATTCTATTTTCATTCTAAATTAGTATTAAATATTATTCAGTGATATTCAATAAAGGAAAATTACATTATTTCCTCTTTTTCATCTCAAATTAAATCTCACTTGTAATTTTCTTTTCCAAATAGACCCTTTGATATTGTCCAAAGAAAAAAGGACATAAAATGACTACCCTTAGAGGCCTGAATTAGAAAGAATGAGGGGTAAAAATGTCTTTACACTTTCTAAATTCCGTAAAACCTAGATTTATCGTTAATGACTAAAAAATAAATTTAGGGTTCGAAATTCTCACGCCACTCGAGTCACGGTCATCAACCTTTTTACCAAAAAAAATAAGTCTATCCATTTTTGGAATGAGAGAAATGCAAGTGTAAGGAAAAAGGTAAAGTAATAAACTTAGTTAAAATTATTGAGATAAATTAATAAATTTAAAAAGGAATAATTGTAATTTTACGAAGGAAAAAATAAGGTATTGGGTGCGGTTACAGAATACAGAAAGTACTTGCTTCCAGTACGGTGCTGACCTATGGTATTCATATAAATGGCAGAGAGAGAAGTGTAGCGTGATTGGTGCGTGTATCTCACTTGCGTATATTCAAGCAGTCCCAGTTAAGTCCAATACAAGCCAGCGACCCCAGCCCTCGAGTCAAATTCTAGTCTCCTCTTCAAAACCCAACAGGCATTCTCTCTCTAAAACCTCTTATAACCAAAGGGGGCTTTCTATAATTTCGCCACGTTCTGAGAATACCCAGATTGGTTTCTTAATCCCTCCCCCTTCTTCTGTAACTGCTGAAGAACAACTCTGCTTTTGGGGCCTTCAATTCTGCCCCTCATCTCCCCACTTTCCCTTGTCCTCGCTTTGTGGCTCTAGATTTGCGTTTCTTTCTTCTTTTTTCGTTTTTTTTTCGCAGTTTCTTAGAAATCGGATCCCCTCTTGAATGTGATAGAGGAAAAGGGGTATTGATTGTTGTTGAAATGGATGATAATGGAGGCTGTTTGGACGAGGAGATTGTGGATGAAGGCACATTCGTTGACATTGGAAATCGAAGCCCAGCAGAGGATGATTATGTGGATACGTTACTTGCGAAGGAGACAAGTTTTGGGTTTGGGAAAGATAAATCTTTGGTGTTTGGGAACTGGGTCAAATGTGCCCGTTTGGAAGCAATTGCATGGATTCTCAAAGTCAGCGTTTTCTAGACCCTTTTTCGTTTTTGTGGATTGTTCTTGCGTTTGATTCAATTCAATTCAATTGATGATTGTTCTAATTTCACAGACCAGAAATGTGTTTGGATTCAGTTACCAGACGGCTTATCTTTCGGTGATATACTTCGATCGGTACCTTTCGCGGAGGGCCATTACTGTAAGCTTCACTTTCTTCCCATTTCCTCCGGCAATGACTTGTTAGTTTGGTCTGTTAATCCAAAACTCCATGAGTGCAGAACGAGAAGGTGTGGGCGATTAGGCTATTGGCAGTGGCTTGTCTGTCGTTGGCGGCGAAAATGGAAGAATTGAAGGCTCCAGCGCTGTCACAATTTGCAGTGGATGATTTCATCTTTGAAAGTAAGGTAATCCAAAGAATGGAGCTTTTGGTGTTGAACACATTGGAATGGAAGATGGGTTCAACCACTCCTTTCTCCTTCATTCCTCATTTCATATCTAAATTAAGCATTGAATCCCCACCAAGCAGTAAGGTTTCTGAGATCCTCGAACTCATCTGGGTTATGATTAGAGGTAGTTTCAGTTTCACACAACCCATTTCCATCAATTTCTCAAAACACTAAACTTCTTCAACCAAATTTTGATCATTACATACTTTCAAATCTTGAATCCAGAAAGGAGTACAGAGAACCATCGGCCTTCTGTAGTAGCAGCCGCCGCAGCCATTTTAGCAGCAATGGATGACAGATTACTAACAAGGAAGGCCTTGGAGTTGAAGATGAAATCCATTTCGCAATGTAGATATCTTGAAGTAGTAAGTTTCATTAAAGAAACTGTGACCCTATTTATATTTATTCCATAATTCGATTAAGTTTAACCCTCCTTTGTTCGCAGGAAGAGGTGGTTTTGTGTTACAATCTGATGCAAGAGCTCATATTGGAAAAATGTAGAGAAGGAGCAGAGTGTTTGAAATCACCAACCCAAATGAAATCCATGGATTGTTCAGAGAATTCTTCAGTAACATCAGCGATTGCCTTGAAAAGAAAACAGCTAAACTTCATAAACTTCGATGAAAAGTGTGGTGTGGCTGATGGAAAGCGGCCCCGGTAGAGGGGAAAAAAATGATAATTTGGGGTTTTATGACGCAGTAATTGCTTGAATTGTTGGTTAACCAATGAAGCTTTCTCTCAGTATACAACCAATGATGAAAGAACAGAGAAACTTAAAGGGAAATGGCAGATGTATTGGGGCTGCACCTGCACGAAAAAATAG